CCTACTATAACAACAACAACAACATCATCAAAAAAATAGTTTCGCGTTCTTTCTCATTGTCAATAGAAGGTCGTTTGTGTGAAGGGGCATTGTGGTTATATATATTCTCATCTGTCTGCGGTTTTTCTGTCCTGGTGCCATTCGTACTTATCAATAATTTATCTATTTGGATACACTATTGCTTTTTGGTTAAACTGATATTTATTTATATCTTGGTTTAATATATATATATATAAACGATTACGTGATTATATTCAAACTGAAAATATTTCCAACGAGAAGAATATTCATTGACCTATAAAGTAATTGTTCATTGAAACATTTGAAATTATTTTATAACACCTTAATCAACCTTATTTCTATTTAAATCTTCATAGAAAAAAAACAATAAATAATTACATGAGAATGGGCATTTAAATGTGATTGAACTTGTCAAATTAATTATTAGAATTATATATAGACACAATGTCATGCTACATTACAAAAAATAGTTAAAAACGTTTTATATATGTATAAATTGTACTAATAAATTTAAATGAAAATGATGATCTTCGATATTCTATCCAGTAAGTGCTGTGTTTATATATTATTAAGTTTTTCTCTGACCGATAGACGAGACGGAATGTTTTTGATTTCTTTTGGATCGATCTTACTCGATAAACTATAATAGACTGATTCCATTTCGATAGAAGAAAGATGAACCTTAATATTTATTTTTGTATTCCTATTAGAATTTTTGATCAATATCAAAATCAAACACTGGATGTATTGTGAGCATTTATGATCTTCAAATTATTAATAAATATACAATAGTGTAATTAAATCTAGGCATATTATATAAAATACATTTATTTATTATTTTAAAATTTTGTAAAGAAAAAAAATACGTTAATTTTATTTATTGGTGGTAAAAATATTATACCGTCGGTTTTTTATTGAAATAGTAGTTAAAGAATTATCTCTTCTCTGCTGCTTCTTCCTCTTCATCAACTAACATTCACCATCATAACTGTCCATCATCATTGCAACCTCCTTCTTGTCTTTCTTCAACGCCATTATTACTCTCGTCCAATAAGTGTCACTGTTCATTTTCTATTCGTTCATTGACACACAACAATTGTATATATATACATATATAGCGACAAAAAATTGTATTTCTTCGTCAGTCATTCAATATGCATCAAGCTAAACCTCCGATTGATATCATACGTATTGATAAACGTCTTTTATCAACTAATTTATCATTAAAATTAAAACGTATGAAAACTGAACCAGTATCATCGGAAGATTTTCATTCACATCCAATTTTACCACCAAAATCTGTTTCTTATTTACCTAATGGTCATATACCAACACCACCACAATCACCAAAATATTCTCCAGTTGATCTTAATCCTCCTGCACCAAGTGTTATTTTAGAAACACGCCGTGAAGCTTTATCTGCACAATTACAACAATATTGTTTATCTCAACCAATTTGTGTTGTACGTGGTTTAGCAAATGTACTTAAACTTGATTTAGGTTTATTTTCAACTAAAACACTTATTGAAACACATCCTGAACATCAAATTGAAGTACGTACACAACGACAACAAGCAAGTGATGAAAATATTGATTTTACATCATTAGCAACACCAATAAAAAATGTTTGGAAATGTGAATCAAGTCGTTCATATACAACTATAGCTAAATATGCTCAATATCAAGCATGTTCATATCATGATATGATTAAAGGAGATCCAAATGAGCCATTAGTATCATCAACAGTTAATGGAACATCAAAAAAACAGTCTAGTAAATAAAATTAAAATAAATATCAAAAATAAAATCTTCTTCTTTTTTTTTGTTCATTTAGATCATACTTCATTGGGATTATCTGCACGTACAATTAAATTTGGTACAAATGTTGATTTATCAGATGAACAAAAATGGGCTATACAATTAGCTGAATTAAATAAATTACCATTATTTCTTCGTGTTGTATCAGCAGGAAATCTTTTATCACATATTGGATACACAATATTAGGAATGAATAGTGTACAATTATATATGAAAGTACCAGGATCAAGAACACCTGGACATCAAGAAAATAATAATTTTTGTTCAGTTAATATTAATATTGGACCTGGAGATTGTGAATGGTTTGGTGTTGCAACTGAATACTGGGGAGTTTTAAATAAATTATGTGAAAAAAATGGAGTTAATTTTTTAGTTGGCTCATGGTGGCCAATATTAGATGATTTACATGAAGCACAAGTACCTGTTTATCGTTTTATACAAAAACCGGGAGATCTTGTCTTTATTAATACTGGGTAAGAATTGAAATATATAAAGTCAAACATGAACTATTTTACAACGTAGTTTCGTACTCAGAATATAGTCAAAAGCTCACCCACACCCTACACTGTAAACTAGAAAATAAGTTATAGAGTTTTTCGAAGAATGTTCTAGAAATGTTTATATGAATACGACCAACATTTTCCAAGTACTTGATAATCACTGACAACTTTCAATCTGCAGCTTTTTGCCAGGAAATAAATTTGAATTCATAGATTCGCGAAAATCGATTGAACATGTCCAGGACATTTCTAGGATTTCAAAAAAATTTACAATGTACGACTTACGATTCTACTTTTATTGTACATAGAAATCTCGATTGAAGTTTTCTGTAAAACGGGACTATGTGTTACATGGTCCTTGTCTTGTTTTTTTCTTAAAAACCTATGTGCTTTGAAATCGCTATTGCTATAAAGTGAATTTTTATTCCTAATACAGATTTAAATACTACGTCTGCAAGATGCTGATCAAAGTAAATAGAAATAAAGCCTCTCATATAAATGATTTGTTACCGAGATAAAGCTCGTTCGATTCAAATCTAAACAATAGTATCAAAAATGTTCCTAATCTTATAATACTTATGAAATACAATATTCTTAAATCTTTTCTTTTAATATAGATGTGTTCATTGGGTTCAAGCAATTGGTTGGTGTAATAACATAGCTTGGAATGTTGGTCCATTAACATATAATCAATATTATGCAGCAATTGAACGTTATGAATGGAATAAGCTAAATTCATGTAAATCTATTGTACCTATTGTACATTTAACATGGAATATTGCACGAAATATGCGTGTTAGTGATCGTCAATTATTTGAATTAATAAAATTTATTTTAACTCAATCATTAAAATATGTTCAATTAACATTATTATATTTAGAAGAACAATTTCATGATAAACTTGATATAAGAAAACAATTACGTACATCAGATGAACCTGCACATTATTGTATAACATGTGATTGTGAAGTATTTAATATTTTATTTGTCACAGAACTTGATCGTAAACATGTTGTACGTTGTTTAAATTGTACTTTACAAAATGATAAACACTTAGAAAATGTTGTTGTTTTATATCAATTTCCATTGGATGATCTTACATCAGTTTATGATCAATTTCAGTTATCTCTTTTACCAATATTGAATTCACCAACTTGAATGTGATACGTAATATTCTTTCTTATCATTGTGTCTGTTTTTTTTCTCTTCTTCTCTTGTTTATCTGTGTTATTTATTATAAACAATTCGATTTTCTTTTGGATTCTTTTCATTTTTTTTTCTGTTTAATTGTTGTCTCGTGCACACTTATACTTAAACAACAGATTAGATATATGTATGAAGGACAAAAACTGGTTGTACGGTATTCTCGATTTTTACGAGATGTATTGTTGTTTGTTTTGTATAAATGTGTTTTTTTTTCGGATTTTGTTTTTCTTTTCGTGAATATATATATATAAATGTATGTGTATGAATACATTGTAGGTAATAGAGGAGTGGATGATTTCAACTATAAATAAAAATAGTTCATTGAGCTTCTGTAGAGAAGAGAAAAAAACGAAAAAGAGTAATAGATATGACCCCATTTCAAGTACGTGAACTGAACCTTGAAGCGATCAAAGGTTGTTCTCTCTTTCGTCCTTGAATGTCAGTGCATATATGTGTCTAAGTCTCAAAGTCAATCGTCGAGAAGAACATATATATAAAAAAAAAAAAGAAAAAATTGAAGAAAAAGAAAGAAAAAAACTACATTTGTTTGTGTTGTGTTGTCTTGTTGCTATCACTATGACTTGAAGGTTCTACTATTTGACGAGATAGCATCACTGTATTATTTTTCTCTTTTTTCTTCTGGTTTGCTCACCATCTTAACTATCATTTCTTCTCGTTTTTTCCTTTTACTTGCGTCCTCTGTGACCTTTTTTCTCACCTCTTTGTCATTTTATGCACATTTGTTCTCTTCTTTTGGGCATCGTTTTATTTTCATTTTGTCGATTAGTGTATACTAGTTTATAATATATCACATTAGTTACTATTATTATTTTTTTCAATAACTTTTAATATTATATCTTTGTTTCCTATTTATCATACTAAAAAATATTGGATTATTATGATTTAATTTTCGATCAATACGAATATTATTATTATTATTATTTGGTATTATAACATTCTATTTATGGTACAAGCAAAAAAAGACATTGAGATCTTCACACGCTTCTATTACGATCGTTGTCTGCCATCGCTACCCACATCAACAAACGAAACTCTACACACAGAGATACACACTCTAGAAGGCAAAAGGAAACCGAAGAAGACATAACAGCAGTACACGAGGAAAGAGAGAGAGAGAAAAAAGCAAGAGAAAAAAGCGGACGAACAATCGACTCAATCGAGAGAAAGAGCAAAAAGCAGGTCACTTCTTTCTTCTGTGTCGTCTATTCTGTTGTCGTCGTGTTTGACGCACTTTATCAGCCACAACACGTTACCTTTCTCGAACATACACGTACATATTTATTTTGTACCAGAAGGTATGAATTAACAAGTGATAGTGACAAGAAAACAGTACAATTTCAAAAACTAAAACAAATTATCTTATACATAGAAATTAATAACATTTTTTGTTTTCATGGGACGAAGAACAGACATTGATAATGATGATGATGAACAACAATCAACTTCATCAACTTCATCATCATCAACACGATTAGCACATGAATCTCAAGCAAATATACATCAAACTATCGATGAAGATAAATTAGACAATGATCTTTTAATACATGATACAGTATTACCACATCGTAAACGAATACGACGTGATACATTACTTTCAATTCAACAACAACATTATGTTCAACCTCAACAATCAGAATCAATGACAACATGTTGTAAAATAGATAATGTAAGTTTATGCTTTTGTTATTTATTCTAATGATTTTGATAAAGACAAATAGGAAGATATATTAACATATCTTAATAGTATGTTATTACATAAACTTTACAACAACACAGCCATAAGTCTGACCTTGAACGCGTTTACTAAGCAATAGTAGTGTCTCGAGAGAGAGGGAGAAAGTATAGATGTAGAATTGAAGAAAAAAAGAATGAGATGGCAAGGACGATAAACGAGATGTGAGGGCGGCAGCCTTCATCGGTGAAGGTCGAAAAACACTGGCGGCGACCTTGTTATAACTGCTACTATGTCTAACTTATATTATCTGGATTATTATTAAAAAAAAAGAAGTGTATTATCGAAGGTGAACAAATGTTTCATTGATAATACAGGTATAAATATTAAAAAGAAATAAAGAGATATATAATAAAAAAAAGAATAAGAATTGTCCTTGAAACTAGTAAATCATCACTAAAGCTATGTAATAAACAACTAAATACAAAAAAGAAAGAAATGTTTCATAATTTTCCTGCACGAAAACAGATTTAAGTCCAAGGTTATTTTTGTTCTTTTCTCTATTAATAAACAACTAATAATATAGAGAGAGGGAGAAAGAGAGAAAAAGAATGATCTTAAAAAGCTTTCTTTTTTTTTATCAACAAATAGAAGAGATAAAAATAGCAAACAATTGAAATATCATGTTATGCATTAAATAAAACCAAGGTTATTTTTTGTTACATACGCAAAAATAACTAAACCAATTGTTTTTATCCGATGTAGTTTATACAAATGACAATAATCGTACGCAGTGAACTCCTTCATCTGTATACATATATCTTATATTCGATAAAATTTTAAATAGGTTGTAATGATAAGATCATATTTAAAATTAGAAATTCATAGTCTGTCGTACCTATGATATATTTTTATAACGATATGTTCATAATTATCTAGTTTGTAATCTATAACAAATATTTATTAGAGTCAGACAGTCGAAAAGAACGTATCCGGTATTATAAAAATTTCCACTAAAACCTAATTATAACCTGGAAAATAAATAATGACTTGTACTTTGTAATGGCTGAGTATCTTTTTTGTGAAGTACGCAATTACGTAATAAACAAAAATATATCAAGGAAAGTGCTATTGATAAAACAAGAAAGTAATGATAAAAACATTTGAATGACGTAATGTTAATTTGTATATTTTATCAGACTACAACATATGACAAGTTAATTGAGATTAGTAACAGACAGAATAAATTCAGACTTGTTATTTTTCTAATTAACTCTAATAGTTACGTTAGATACTTTTTTTTTCAGTCTACACTAAATCCTATCGGATCAAATTTCAATAAATGATTTTTCTCCGAATGACAATTATTCATTAAATATATATTGTTGCTTTAGAATGATAATCATAATTGTATTAATGATGAAGTAAGTTTAATAAATGCAGCAACAGTACCACATCAAAATCAACTAGCAGCAGCTGCTAATGGTCTTCTAAGTCTTTCAAGTTCGTTCATATATTCTTGTTAAATTAAAATCATAAAATAATTTAAATAGATTCATTATTGATTACAAATGATGAACACAATGAATGTCATTTAAATATTCCAATGGATGATGGAACAACAACATCAACAACAAATGGAGATTTAACATCATTATGTTGTGTTTGTCAAGATCGTGCATCGGGTAGACATTATGGTGTATTATCCTGTGAAGTAAAATATTGTGTTTCATCTTTTTTTTGCTAATCATTTATAAATTAAATTTTTTTAAATTAGGGTTGCAAAGGATTTTTTAAACGAAGTATACGTAAACAAGTATTATATACATGTTTAAGTACAAAAGATTGTCCAATAAATAAATTTATGCGAAATCGGTAATTTTTTCGAAATAAAAAAAAAGAAAATTAATTAAATTTTTTTATTTAGTTGTCAATATTGTCGATTACAAAAATGTCTTCAAGTGGGAATGCGTGTTGAAGCCGTTCAAAATGAACGACGACCTTATTCAAGTAAACATGATTTAATGACACATGGAAATACGAATCAAATACGAAAACAAAATGAAACGAATGTAATATAGAAGAAAATCTTCAGTTCATATATTTTGTTGTTTTTTTTAATTTTAGTTATTAAATTCATCTTCAAATGATATACAATGTTTTCTAAATAATAATAATAATAATAATAATAGAAATGATACAATACGAATAATTAATGAAAATAAAACTCTTCATAGTATTCTTACATCAACATCACGAGTTCAAACACCAACAACACGTTTGTTTAACACTAAATATTTACTTTTCTTTTATTTATTTAAAAAATTTCATTTTAGCTGCTTTTCTTTCTCCCCCATCATCATCATCTTCATCATCATTAAGTACAACAACAACTAGTCTACATATTGATTGTAATATTAAAACTGAAACAACAAATAATCATAATACAGCAGCTATTACAAAAGCTTTTGATAATTTAGCTAAAGCTGCAGCACAGGTAATTATTTTTCTACTTGATTTTGTTATTATTATTTTTATGATTAAATATAGTCTCGAGCAAATACGAATAATGAAGCATTAACACTTATGCAACAACAATATCTTCTCAATGAAAAACATTATTGGGGACAAGTCGAACGTTAGTTACCTTAAATGTAGTTGGGGTTTTATTCGAAAATTTTCTTTAGGTCCAATAATGACTAGTGAAACAAGTATATTTACTATAACACCACCAACTCCTCCGACAAATCGTGATATACAACCATCGAATAGTTTTATTTGTGAATCAGCATCACGTATACTTTTTCAATCAATTGATTGGATTAAAAGTAATTCATGTTTTCAAACATTAGAGTAAGTTATTTCTTAATATTATAGATAAAAATAATTTCCTTTTCTTTTCTTTTCTTTTCAAGTACAAATATACAAATAATTCTTATACAAAATAATTGGTTATCATTATTTATTCTTAGTCTTCTTCAATGTTCATCAATTGTTAATTTATCAAATATTTTATCAACATTATTATCTAGTATAAATTATATATTTTTAATAATCAATTGAATTGTTTTTTTCTATTTCTAGAAAAATTCGATAATCTTGATTTAAATAAATATCATCAATTACGACGTATACAATCACTTCTATATGAATTCGATCGTTTACATGTAACACCAATGGAATATGCTTATTTGAAATTAATTTCAATTTTTAATCCAAATAATAATATTGGTAAATAGAATTATTTCATATTTTATCGAATAATTTGTTTGTTTTTTTAGAATGTATTCGAATATATGATCAAATTGATGCATATCGTATATTAACATATAAAGAATTACATGATTATTTAAATGATCGATTAGTAATAACATCATATGATGAATGTCGATTAGGTCGACTAATACTTAAATTATCTTCATTACCTGAATTTGATACAAATATTATTGAAGAAATATTCTTTGTTGGTTTAATTGGTATGTTTATTTTCAATATGAATGGAATTTTTTTAAGCTTATTTTTTTTTGTTTTAAGGTTCAGTACAAATCCATAAAATCATTCCATGTATTCTTAAAATGAATGTTGTATCATCATCAGCATCATCATCATCACCATCATCACCACCATCACCAATGATTAAATGTGAAAAAACTGACCAACAATCACTTGTCTCGTCATCATTGTAGAAATATAAACAAATATATCAACCGGTGTTCATATTGTTCATTCTGCTTTCGTTTTTTCTTCATTTATTTTTATTATCTCAGGCTTGTGTGTTTATCCCCGTATTTATTTTATTTGTCATTTGCCTTATTTTTTTTTTTCAATGACTGACTGGTGCAGTCATTGTGTATTATGTGTGTATTATTTTTTGTAGGCAATGAATAATAAACCGACAAATATCTCAGGCAAATTATAAAAACCAATATCTTTTTATCATCATCAATGAATTACTGACTCAT